TCTCGGAGTTCAAAGGGTCAACCGCCCCCGAGAAGCCGTTGATTCAACCAGACACCTCCGATGAAGGACCTAGCAACTCCTGGCCGTATGATCCTATGTGCGAAATTCTCACGATGGACATCTTTGATCCTAACTGGGAAGTTCGTCATGGGGCTGCGATGGCCCTCCGAGAGGTCATCCGTGTTCAGGGTGCTGGAGCTGGGCGCTTAAGAGGCAAAAGCAGGCCGGAGAACGATGTGCTAAACCGTAAATGGCTAGATGATCTGGCTTGTCGTCTTCTCTGTGTTCTTATGCTCGACCGTTTCGGTGACTACATCTCCGACAATGTCGTGGCCCCCATCCGAGAAACAGTTGGCCAGACGTTGGGTGCCCTTCTATCGCAGCTCCCCTCTCGGTCCGTGGTCGCTGTCTACAAGTGTCTCTACCGCATTGTCATGCAGAATGACCTGGGCTTGGAGCGTCCCATTTGGGAGGTGTGTCACGGTGGTATGATCGGGTTAAGGTACCTGGTAGCTGTTCGGAAAGACATCTTGATCAAGGATCGGAGTTTGATGGATGGCGTACTAGAGGCAGTAATGAAAGGGTTGGGAGACTATGACGACGATGTTCGTGCCGTGAGTGCGGCGACGCTTGTTCCCATGGCGGAGGAGTTTGTTGCGTCCCGGCAGAGCACGCTAGGAAGCCTGATGAACATTGTTTGGGACTGTCTTTCAAACCTACAGGACGACCTAAGTGCCAGTACCGGCTCAGTCATGGATCTTCTGGCGAAGCTGTGTACCTTCCGCGAGGTCCTGGATGCCATGAAGGCCAACGCGGCCGTGGACCCAGAGTCGTCGTTTGGAAACCTCGTGCCTCGTCTCTACCCGTTTTTGCGCCATACGATCACCAGCGTTCGCTCGGCGGTCCTTCGCGCCCTCATGACCTTCCTGCAGCTGGAAGGCGAAGGTACCAACGAATGGGTGAATGGAAAAGCACTGCGCTTGATCTTTCAGAACCTCTTGGTGGAACGAAACGAAGGGGTGCTCAAGCTCTCGCTTCAAGTGTGGTCGGAACTGCTAAATTCCCTGGAATCTCGGGGGGTGTTCAAGGCTGATGGCGACCTCCTGAGCTACATCGAACCGCTCATCACCCTCACAATGTCACCATTCGGTGTCCCAAGATATCCTCTTCCCATGGACGCCTCACTCTTCATCAAGCCATCTGGGGTGCCTTTCCCGAATAGTGCCGCGGCCCCTGCAAAGTCCTCGCCCACCGCGAACAATGCCGCCGCTGATGGACCGAAGAAGCGCGGGCGGAAAGCGGAAAAGAAAGAAGCGCCCCCGCCTTCAGCTCATAATGTGGATGGGCACATGCTTCAGGGCGATATTGATCTGGTGGGCGCAGATACAATGCTGCGATCGAAGATCTACGCGGCCAGAGCACTTGGCAAGTTGCTCTTCCTCTGGGATAAGAATGAACTTCCCAGCCTCTGGCAAACTATCTTGGCTGGTCTCAGGCATACGGCGTCGACGTCGCAATTGTCGACAGCCATGATCGTCGAGGAGTACGCTAGGGTCTCTGGACCTGGCAGTAAGTATGCTTCCCTTCTCACTGAGCAGTTACGCCCAATCATCGAAGGCGAACGCCCCCTGTGGTACAGCGACATTGCATGCTATCTACAGGTCGCCCGCGCACAGTGCCACTCGCTCCTTTATGCGTTCAAAGATCACGCTCATGTTCCTGGGTCAAGACTACCCACGCTGGCGGTCGTTGTTCAAGGAGAAGAGCAGGCTGGGCCCAGTGCGTTCTCCCTTGCCGACGCCGAAAAGGTTGCTGGGCCCGATTTTGAGCGGCTGAAGAAGGGTCTGGCCCCAGCCCAGCGTATCACCGCCCTCCAAGTTCTGAATGACACCCGTGCGACCGCAGAAAACGCCATCGAGGAAGCCAGAAGTGTCCGGGAACAAAGGGATCTGCGTGTGCGGGCTGCCGCCGCGGGTGCGTTGGTGGCGTTGCACGACATTCCCAAGAAGCCAAGCCACATCATCAAGGGCATGATGGACAGTATCAAGAAGGAAGAGAATGCGGAGCTGCAACAGCGCTCTGCCACAGCTATCGCTTTCTTGGTCGAATATTACACCACTGCTACCAAACGAGGCCCCGTCGACAAGGTCATTGGGAATTTGGTCAAGTATTGCTGTGTGGACACTTCCGAGACGCCCGAGTTTCACCACAATGCGACCCTGGAGAAGTCTATTCTGTCTCTGCGCAAGGAAGAGGACAGGCGCGACCATCCGGATGCGGCGAAGTTCGAGAGAGAGGCGAAGGAGGCGAGGATCATGCGCCGTGGTGCCAAGGAAGCTCTCGAGCAATTGGCCGTCAAGTTCGGATCCCAGCTTTTGGAGAAGGTTCCTAACCTTGCAACCTTGGTGGAGCGGCCTCTAAAAGAGGCTCTTGCTGGCGACCTTCCCCAAGAGATCGTCAATCCCGACAACGAATTGGGTCAGGAGGTTGTGGATGGCCTGTCAACACTGCGCGCCTTGCTACCGAAGTTCGATAAGGGTCTTCACCCTTGGATTATCGGGCTCATGCCTCTTATTGTCAAGGCTCTGCAGTGCCGACTTTCAGTCATCCGATATGCCGCCGCCAAGTGCTTCGCAACCGTCTGCAGTGTCATTACTGTTGAGGGTATGACTATGTTGGTTGAGAAGGTACTGCCGACCATCAATGATCCCTTGGATGTTCACCACCGCCAGGGAGCTGTGGAGTGCATCTACCACCTGATCCATGTGATGGAGGACGGAATCCTTCCCTATGTCATCTTCCTCGTGGTGCCGGTTTTGGGGCGGATGAGCGACTCGGACAATGACGTGCGCCTCTTGGCTACAACGTCTTTTGCTACCCTGGTTAAGCTTGTTCCCCTGGAAGCTGGCATTCCCGATCCGCCAGGCCTATCCGAGGAGTTGCTCAAGGGACGAGACCGGGAAAGGAAGTTCATGTCTCAGATGCTGGATGTTCGCAAGGTGGAAGAGTTTCAGCTGCCAGTTGCGATCAAAGCTGAGCTTCGGCCCTACCAGCAAGAGGGTGTCAACTGGCTTGCTTTCCTCAACCGGTACAACCTGCATGGTATTCTTTGTGATGACATGGGTCTTGGTAAGACCCTGCAGACAATCTGCATTGTCGCGAGTGACCACCATCTGCGCGCTGATGAGTATGCACGGACCCAGTCAGCGGAAGTTCGGAAGCTTCCGTCTTTGATTGTCTGCCCCCCGTCTCTTTCCGGTCACTGGCAGCAGGAGGTTAAACAATACGCCCCGTTCTTGAACTGCGTCGCTTACGTTGGTCCCCCGGTGGAGCGCGCAAAGCTGCAGGGCAACTTGGCGGATGCCGACATTGTCGTGACTTCTTACGACATCTGCCGGAACGACAATGACGTTCTCCGACCGATCAGCTGGAACTACTGTGTTTTGGATGAAGGACACCTTATCAAGAACCCCAAGGCCAAGGTCACAGTTGCAGTCAAGCGGATTGCCAGCAACCACCGGCTGATCCTCTCTGGTACCCCGATTCAGAACAATGTCCTGGAACTGTGGTCGCTCTTCGATTTCCTTATGCCCGGATTCCTGGGTACAGAGAAGGTCTTCTTAGATCGGTTCGCCAAGCCAATCGCGGCTAGTCGCTTCAGCAAGTCGTCTTCCAAGGAACAAGAGGCCGGCGCTCTTGCTATTGAGGCATTGCACAAGCAGGTGCTTCCGTTCTTGCTTCGTCGTCTGAAGGAGGAGGTCCTGAACGATCTGCCACCGAAGATCATTCAGAACTACTACTGTGACCCTAGTGACCTCCAGAAGAGACTTTTCGAGGACTTTACCAAGAAGGAGCAGAAGGAACTGGCAAACAAGCTTGGTAGCTCCGAGAAATCCGACAAAGAGCACATCTTCCAAGCACTGCAATACATGCGCCGTCTTTGCAATTCCCCTGCGCTGGTCGTGAAAGAGGGACACAAGCAGTACAACGAGGTCCAGCAATACCTCACCACGAAACAGTCCCATATTCGCGATGTGTCCCATGCACCGAAGCTCAGCGCTCTGCGCGACCTGCTACTCGACTGTGGCATCGGTGTCGACCCACCCACTGAAGGTGATCTCGGCACCGGGGCAAGCTACGTCAGCCCACACCGAGCTCTGGTGTTCTGTCAGATGAAGGAGATGCTCGACATCGTGCAAAGCGAAGTGCTGCGCAAGCTTCTCCCCTCGGTTCAGTATCTCCGCCTTGACGGTGGCGTGGAAGCTACCAAGCGTCAGGACATTGTCAACCGCTTCAACTCGGATCCCAGCTACGATGTTCTGCTCTTGACGACCAGCGTTGGTGGTCTGGGTCTGAACCTGACGGGAGCCGACACAGTCATCTTCGTGGAGCACGACTGGAACCCGCAGAAGGATATCCAAGCTATGGACCGTGCTCACCGTATCGGTCAGAAGAAGGTAGTCAACGTGTACCGGTTGATCACACGCGGTACTCTGGAGGAGAAGATCCTGAAGTAAGTTGATCCTACATTGATTGACTGATTTGCCAATACTAACCGTTCTCTAGTCTCCAACGATTCAAGATCGACGTGGCCTCCACAGTGGTCAACCAACAAAACGCGGGCCTAAATACAATGGACACCGACCAACTCCTGGACCTCTTCAACCTCGGAGAAACTGCCGACAACGCCGAGAAACCCAACGAGCAAGCCGGCAACGAAGTAGACATGGTCGACATCGACGGCGAAGTCAAAGAAAAGGGCAAGAAGGGCTGGCTAGACGATCTCGGCGAGCTCTGGGACGACCGCCAATACCAGGAAGAATACAACCTGGACTCGTTCCTGGCCACAATGAAGTCATGACCAACCTCCCCAACCGCCCTCCCTATCCAGGGCATTTCAATACCCTAGCACCTGCAACAAGCAGCGCTAGTACTTACTACCTACATCATCCCCTCCATCAACCTCGCATACACACACATCCATGTACCAAAAGAAAGAAAAATCCAGCAAGGCGTTCAGGGACCTCTCCTTTCCTACCTACCATCCATTACGCGGTGTTGTGTTAAACTACTTTCTTTACCAGGGAAGCCGGCGTGGAGTTGACTTGACATTTTGTTTTTTTCTTTTCCTTATCTACTATGTTATTCTACCATTCTTACTCTTTGTGTTTTTGTCTTATTTTTCTCTTTTTATCAAGACCTAACTCATTGATTGAACGAATGATTCGGAGTGCTACGAGATTAACTTTCCCCCCTTTGGAACGGAACGGACGGACGGCCTTGAAACTGAAGATAGATTTGTTTTTCTTTTTTCCTTTCTTCTTCTCCTCTTGTCTTTTCATCTACTACATCTACATCTACATCTATATCTCTACCTTTTACCAAACCACATGTATCCTAGTTCTTTCTACTGTTTTCACACACACCCGATTCGCTCCCAGTTATAATGTATTATACCTGTATTGCTACAAATGCCATACTGGGTTTTCCAAACATGTAGTGATTGATGTGAAGTGAGGTGATGATGAGATGTGGTAGTAACGTAAACGCCAATACATTGTAAGTTGTATGTGGAACAGGTGAATGAGATAGATATACTCTTATCTCATTGATTGCAACGCATGGAATTCATCGCCTCATAATAACCACAATCACTCAATAGAACAATGAAACAATAGAAAACAAACAAGCAAAGCAAAGTAAGTAAGCTAGCCAGCTAGGCAGACAATAACAACAACGATAACAATCACAAATAAACAAACACACAAAACAACAAAGAAAGAGAAAGGGTAGGTATTCACCATTCCCCCATCCCAACCACAAGTAAAAACCAGACTAAATGGTAAACCCCTTCCACCCCTCCACCAACCCATCCGCAGCCTTACTAACCGCCACCCAATTGGGCGCAAACTGTCTGACTTCATCCAACGCGGGGATGACACCCTTTGAGTTGTTGTCGCTCCAGAGACAGACTGCTTTGCCGGTTAACTTTCCTTCTTTTTCTTCTTCACCGTTATCATCGTCAGTATGGGTAGTGTTTCCTGACCACGCAACATCCACGACCCACTCATTCTCCCATTCTCTACTCCACAGACGGATCTCCTTCGTGCCGTGCGGAGAAGTCGTCGGGAAGCGGGGATCCGTGGCGGAGCCGAGGACGGAGAAAGAGGAGATGGGCGAGTCGAAGAGGAGTTTGCAGGCGCGGGTGTTGCGGCCTGATAAGGTGATGCGGGCTTGCTTTGGGTGGGTATCTTCATCTTCGTCGTTGTCTTTGGTTTCGGTAGTGGTGGTGGTATTGTGTTGCTGGGAGATGGTAAAGTCGAGCCAGTCGGTGTATGGTGTGTCTGGGACAACGCGCGGGGCGAGGCCCGGCCAGGCGCATTTGGTGCCGCGGGTGGTGTGTTCGGTGCAATTGATGTTTTGGTTTGTGGTGCTGGGGAGGGTGGAAGCGGCGGCGTGGACGTAGGGTTGGACGCCGGCGAGGGAGGCGGTGGTGGAGCCGGTGGTGAGGTCGATGTCTTGGATGAAGAAGAGTTTGAGGCGGTTGGTCGGGGAGAAGGGGAAGGCGACGAGGTTGTAGATTAAAGTGCCGAGGAAGACGAGCAGGAGGAAGACGGGGAGGTGGTAGGTGTGGCGGTGGATGAAGGGGAGGAGGGGCGTGAGGAGGTATGTGGTTAGGGCAGCGATGGCGACGTAGATGAATAGGGAGGAGCTGCCGTCTTGGCCGGTTTGGTGGAGGGCGCTGGTCAGGAGGAGAGCGAGAGGTCCAACCATGATGAGGACTAGCGGGGCGATGAGGAGGAATTGTAGGGTCCAGATCCAGGCTGGGAGCGAGCCGCTCCAGCGTTGCTCGTTCTCGTAGACGCCTGGGTAGTGGTGGTGCTCGTCGGTGTCGGAGCCGCGGTGGTCGCCGGAGACGCGGACGTAGTTGGCGAAGGTGGTGCGCTGGCCGCCTCCGAGTAGGGAGGTCGATTCGGTGGGCTCATTTTCTTCCTCTTCCTCTTCGGCGTCGTGGTCGTCCTCCTCGTGGTCTTCACCTGACGCTGTGCCTAGTCGACTGCCGCCGTAGCTGCTGGCCCGGCGGGACATCGGCCGGTTTTGGTTCGCGAACTCGGACTTGCGCGGCAAGGAGAAGAGCTCTAGATAGGAGATCCAAGTGGCGAGAAAGGTGCCGCAGAAGAAGAAAAAGACGGAGTAGCCGCCAGCCAGGCCGCGTTGGTTCTGGTAGACCGTGGAGATGACGAGGAGTACCCAGGCCAGCACGAACATCCAGGTCAGGGTGTAGATGCGGTGCAGCGCAGACGGACGAGCAGTGTTAGCCACCCGCGAGACAAACCAGGCCAAAAAGATCCAGGCAGACAGCATCATGCTCCAGACGGCATACTCGCTGCTGTGGATTATCAGCGGGTTAACCTTGGTCACCAGGTACGCCAGACCAACAGTGACAGCCGTAGGGATCGCAAAGAGGAACGGAAACCGGAAGAAACCACGTAGACCCCGCAGAGAAGTCGAGTCCAGACCATCATCCGTCTTTGCATACGTTCTAAACAAATACATCTTGTCCGCGCAGGTGAGCGCAATACCCGTCACCAGCAGAGCCAGCGGCGCAACCACGAGCAGCGTCACCGACAGCGCAAACAGCGTATGCAGCTCGAACAAAACGAAAGTCGTCCCAAACAGATCAAACCAAACAGCCTTGGACCCTGACCCGCTCGCAACTTTCGCATCATCCCTGGGCGCGCCATCAAACTGCGCACTCTTATCCGAGACCAACCCCTCCGTAGTCGCAACCGCCGCAGACAACATGTGCCACAGTGAGCTCTTACTCGTATGTCTCGAATCATCCTGCTCCGTATGATACCTAGCCCTCGGCTCCATAAACGCAACGTCCAGTCCCCGGAGGCCCAAGTCCCCCTCAAACACCACATAATCCGTCTGACTAGCAATGAGACCCGTCGCAAACCCATCCGCCGCCAACACCGACCCAAACGGATACTTCGAACTCATATACGGACGGGTTACCTCGGTATCCGAGCTGCGAAATAGGATAGCACGACCGCCAGCCCCCGCACCCTCGAGATTGAGGAACGTATGGGGAAACTTGGCGATCGGATGCTGGCCGTACACGCGCGCGCCATTCAGATAATCCTCTTCGCCGTTATTCAGCAGCACGACCAAGCCCCTCCGCGGCGCATGGCCCGGCGTCATGAAGTACTGAATCAGCTGCAAACAAGTCACGACACCGACACCATCATCGGTGGCGCCGTATCCCGTTGAAACACTATCGTAGTGGGCGTTGACCAGCACGCCGCCCTTGCCGGAGGGCACACCATTGGGTTCCTCCCACCAGTTCTCGGGATCATCGTCTGTTCCGCGAATGTAGACGAGGATATTGGTGCCCTCGAAGTAAACAGCGGTGTTGGAGCTGGACAGGGAGTTGCCCACGAAGGAGAGGTTGGATTGCGTATCGTCAAAGACGAAGACGGCGGGCTTCGGCTTCTCCTCATCGACGGAGAGGTACTGGTCGGCCGAAGGTGCGGCGTCGAGGATCTCGTGGATGCGTTGCAGAAGCCAGGTGTGGACTTCGTCGTTGCGACGCGAGTTGTACGGGTGGAAACCGTCGGTTAGGACTTGGAGATCGGCCCAGGCTTGGGTGAGGTCGAGACCGTTGGGGTTGGCAGTTGGAGGCGAGGGGACGACATGATGCACGATAAGCAGTGGGATGAGGAAGGCGAGATAAACGACGGTGGTGATCAGGGTGACGGGCCAAGGGGTGAAGGCCAGTGGATTGGCTCGCGATAGCCTGAGAGGAGCCATCGGAGGATTGCAGCTCTGCAGGAGTGCTGGGTGGGTGTTGGAGCAGCGATGCGGAGGAAGTGAGGAGACGCCGATTGATTGATGATCAAGTGGGCGGGAAGGCGGTGGGGAAAGTGACGTTGTACCACTAACTGTTTATTAAGTACTTCCGGTCACTGTATACACTCGGAGATAAAAAGTCACCATAAAAATAAGCCGATGCTGGGATTCAAATGCTGCTAGCTAAAACTCCGTCCATGCACATGGTCGCTCTGCCATCCTTTGCAGATAACAATAGATACTCTATCTAGTCTCTCGCTTCCTTTCTCTTTCCCCCCATACACTCACGCACACCATGGATTGCTTCTCTACAGAACCATGCCATCGCCTGGTATATATCATTCCGGTAAAAAGAAAATCCACAAAGATGTTCGTCCCAACCGAATGAGAAAGAGCAATAAAAGAGAAATAAACCACAGCCTCCCTCTGTCCTAGAAGGCAGCTCCCCGTGAGCCGCGATCCGATGCAAATTTCCGAATAGCCATCGCAACAGCCAGGAGGGAAAATCAACCCTCCCTCAGGGCAAAACGCGGATAAGTACAACACAGGCGGCGAAAAAAATAAAAATAAAAGCAAGCAAGTGCAAAACGATAGGCTCCGATGTGAATAGACTCGCTGTAAGAAGGCGGGGGTATCAACCATGGGTATGTCCAATGTCAATGTAGTCGTCGTCGTGAATGGCCGTCGCGGCGGTCGCATGCATCAAGCCTGTCACTTGGTTTTCCTCGTCCTCTAGCTCCTCATCATCGTCATACATCGTGGCCTCGGTCTCCATGTCTCGCGTCGGCGGAGGAGGCGGGATGATGCGGTTCAGGAAGTCGCGCAGGCGGTTGACGCCCTCGCCGCTGAACACGCAGAACACCTCTCGTTGTTGATGCGTGAACTCCGAAGGTGCCTCGCGGCAGAAGACCGTCAGCTCTTCTCGCAGGAAGGCCTGAACGCCCGTCAGACTCAGGTGTGTCAGTCGCGGACAACTGTTAAGTAAAGCGTGAATTCCCTGTGTGCAAGTCAGCATGCTATAAAAAGCAAGGTAGATGCTCCCTCAGAAACATACATCAATCGTTAGGCGAACGCAGTAACTCAGATGCACCCGCTCCAAGCTACTGACGCCCCCCGAATGGTGGGCCGCCTTGGATCCTGCCAAGGCTTCAATGCTAGTGTCCGTAATATTCTGGCACTTGACCAAGCCAATTCGCCGCAGCTTGGGCAATGTGGCCAGCTGCTTCACGCTCGTGTCCGTCAAACGAATGCAGCAGGCCAGATCGATATACCGGATGCGGTTGCAGGATTTGACCAGCTGAATCACCGCGGCATCAGTGATGTTGGAGCAGTGGCCCAGATGGACGTAGTGTAGATTCTTGCCGAGCCGGCAAATGGCCCAGACCGCACGATCGGTGATAAACCGGCACTTGGCCAGCACCAGATTCCGTAGACGAGGGGCCGCAGCCACAATGCGCTCAACGGCATCGTCCCGGACGCTCTCGCATGACGTCAGGTCGAGAATGCGAAGACTGTCCATCGACAGATGCCGGGGGAGCTCCAGGAAAGCCGTGTCGTCAATTTCTGTACAATGGGCTAGTCGCAACTCGCGCAGGTTTTGGAGCGTTGTCATGAGCGATGTTACTGACGGGTTGGTGACGAGCTTACAGTCGTGCAAGTCAATCTCCAGGATGGCCGGGCAACTTTGGGCGAACGACAAGATAGCCTTGTCAGTAACCTGTGTTACTCCGTTTAATTTTAACTGCGCTAGTCAGTCGAGCCCCCCAAAACATGGTACAGATACACCAGCGAAAACGCTTACCCTTTTGATTTGTCGACAATTCCGAGACACCGTGATCAACGAGTCGTCCGTTACATTGACACATCCCGTGATGTTGAGGCCCTGCAGCCGCGCACAGTTCCGAGCTATCGTATACAAAGTATGATCTGTAAGATGTTTCAGATCAGAGACATCCAGAGCCTGCAGATGCCGATTGCCTTCCACCAAGTCCGACACACCCTTGTCCGTGAGTTTCGAGCAATTGGTCAACGTGAGACGTTCGATGCGGTTGCACTGGGCAAAGGGCACCACAGTGCCGTCACTGACATCGTCCGTCAGCGCGGATAGGTTGAGTCTCCGGATCAGCTGCGAGTAGGGAAAGAAGCTGTCTGATTTTCCCACCGAGGCCGTGATGCTTTTCATGTTGTCCCAGTTGTTGCATGAGGGCCGGTGCCAGAGAATGCCCACGCAGTTCGCTGCCCATCCCCTGCATACGCGCATGCAGCTCAACATGTCGGAGGGCGAGGATAATTTCGCGAAGATGGCGATGAGAATCTCCGGGGGTAGACGCCCGATCGGCGGCAGGTACAGGTCGGTGTCATGGTGGGGATGGGCATCACGGGTCGCGACGCCGACCGATGATTGCGAGTCATTCGCCTGGGCTGTGAAGAAGTCGGTATCCTCGTCTGCAGTGCGATCCGGAGACGTCGACGAGGTCGAGGATTCAGAGGGAGCTTCGCTCGAGAACCGAGCGGGTTGCCTTTGGCGGGGCATCAGGACCGCCGTCGGGATGGGAATCAAGTGTGCGGGAACGGAACCCTGGTCGTGCTCAGTTGCGTCCTGGTTTCGCTCACCGTGGATATGGAAGGCTGATCGGCATGGAATGTGTCTCATCGACTGTCGTCACACACAGAGAGAGCGAGTGAGATGCGCGTTGGGGTCCGATGCGAGTGGATCCAACCGGGGGGAGGAGAGGATGTGGTCTGCAGGTGTAAGAGCGGTTGGTTCCTGAGATCGAAGCCGGGTCGTGAGGGATAGAGGGAAAGGGTTGATGTCCAATAAGACCCAAGTCAGCGGAGGAGAATCGAGTTCCACTTGAGCGGCCAGCGGATCAAGGGCGCTTATAAAAAAGAACGCGCGTCGGGCGTGCCTGCAGCAGTTGCAGCTGGGAGAGGAGGCGAGCGGAAGGCAAGGAAGGGAGAGAGGAGGGGTGTGGAGGAGGCCCAGCGTCGGAAGGGCATGCGAGGGGAGCAAGAGAAGGCGCCAGTCGTGAAGAGGCAAGCTGGGGGACTTAGTAGAGAGTATCGCTAGGAGAGGTGAAATATTGAGGGAAAAAGGGAGAGGTTTGTGAGGTAGTTGAGTGTTCTACCAGAGGAGGAAGAGGGGAGAGAGGGAGAGGGAGAGGGAGGGATGCAGGCAAAGCAGGGCGGCGGGTAACTATCGCATGGGCGGGTGTGACGATATGTGAAAGGGAAAGAGAAGAGAGTGAGAGAAGAAGAGAGGGGGAATCTTAGCCCCGGTCGGCAGCCCACCGTCATTGTGCCTGGTGAGGTAAGCCCCAGCAGCAACCAGCACTGCCCAATCTTGACTCTCCCTAGTGGCGTGAAGATGATCAATTAACTGAGGGAGATTTATTGTATTGGATGGTGATTTAAGGCATTCCCTTTGACGCCCTGCCCTGTGCACAGACAATGGGCTGGGGTTATTTGATTCGAGGCCTGGATGCTGGCAGAGGGAGCATAGTAAGTATGCCTGCCTGCCTGCCTCTCTGATGCGCCCAAAGACAGCACAACTGCTACAAAGTACTATCGACGCACTTGTGTGCTTCACTATGACGATCTGTGTTAAGTATCCATTTGGGTAGCTTGACTCCATCCATCGAGCATCACTGGCATTTCCCGTTTCATTGTTGTCCGTCGCCCAAACAATGCCACTGTTGTCCAACTCTCCTCTTCAGGGCATCACCGAGAACCCCGGGGATGTCTGTGCGCTCCGCTCCATCTTCAACTCGCGTCTAAAAATACCTGTACTTTCTTCACGGCTCATAAAGTCCCAAATTCAGTCTCAGAAGAATCAAAAAAGAGTCCGGCTCAAAATATCCAACATGTCTATGCTATCCAAGAACAATGAAAAGTACACGGACTGTGATAGCGAGTCCCCCTCCCAGTCTATAACAGCCTCACTTACATATATAGCCCTATAAATAACCACCACGCAGTTTCTATTCTATATCACACCATCACACCATCCCTCCTTCCCCTCTCCTGGGCACACCCCAACCCAACCCTCAGCTTAGGTTCATCGCGGTGCCCCTTTCGCCCAGTCCCGAAGAACATTCTTCCTGATTTTCCCCGTACTCGTCTTGGGCAGTTCCGCCACCACCTCCACCTCCCGCGGAAGCATGAACTTGCTGATTTGACTTTGGTTCCGGGCCCAGTCGATCACCTCTTTCCCCTCCAGGTGCCGACCTTGCTTCGTGGTTACAAACGCCTTGGGTCGCTCTCCCCAATGTGTGTCAGGCACCGCCACCACGCCCACCTCCAGAATGTCCGGGTGAGTCACCAGCATGGATTCCAGTGCGACAGACGAGATGTTTTCGCCTCCTGTACGACGTTAGCATGCACCGCCCAGACTCCTACAAAGGCTACCACAATAGTCAAGGGGTCCTCATACCGCTGATGATAATGTCTTTGGCTCGGTCCAGGATCTGGATCGCTCCATCGGGATGCCAGACAGCCAGATCGCCCGAATGAAGAACGCCACCAGCAAAGAGCTTCCGCGTCGCCTCGGCATCTTTGTAGTAACCCTGAGCACAGAGGTTCCCGACAAACGCAATCTCGCCAATCTCCTTGCCGTCTTGCTTGACGTCGATGATGGTGCCCTCAGGCACATCCGTCTTGATGACCCGCGTTGGCAGACTGGTCAGGAAACCATGGCCTTGCCTGGCCATCCTCCGGAACTTCTCGTCTCGTGGTAATTGATCCCATGCGGGTAGCATATAGCACCTGGTAGTAGGACCATACGTCTCCGTCATACCGTAGACATGCACGGGACGCAGATTCAGGCTGGTCATCTGCTCGAACAGATGAGGCGTAGGCGGACTACCCGCCACTTGGACGATAACAGGTGTTGACAGTGGCTCAGCATCCGGGTGATTGCAAAGCAGTGTGTTCACCGTAGGGGCCGCATTGAAATGGGTGATGCCCTCCTTCTTGAACAACTTCCAAATCTGCCCATAGTCCACCTTGCGCAGACAATAGTGCGTACCACGCGCAGCAGTAACAGCCCATGGAAACGTCCAACCTAAAAAACAATATCAGTAACCATCCGCAACATGCAATTGAGCTCAACAGTACCCACCAACAGCATGAAACATCGGCAAGATCCACAAATACCGACAACGACCATTAAACACATTCAACCCAGACTCGACCACATTCCCCAAAGCAGCTAAATAGGCACCCCGATTTGTATATTCGACACCCTTCGGCCGCGACGTCGTCCCACTCGTATATGCCAAAGCAACAACATCATCTTCCGAACCAGCCTGAGCCTGCAGCCCCTCCCAGCCCTTATTTCCAGTAGCTATATCGTACTTGAGACCTTCCAAAACCGCCTCGTCAAAGGGACCCGACAATTGACCCTCCGCGGCATCGGTATCCGTATCCACAATGATCGGAGTCTCCGGCTTCGCCTCCTTATACACGCGCAGCAAGGGCAGGAATTCCTTATCCACAATGATCACCTCCGCTTCCGAATGTGTAAATATATAAGCGATATCATCTTCTTTGAGTCGGTAATTCACAGCTAGCAGAGCGTAAAACCGTCAGCATGAAACCCCACATCCCGAATAACAAAAGCAAAACACACAAAACAATCAGAAACTAATGAACTCACCAATATTCACCGCCCCGGCGGCCCCAATCCCAAAAATAGACTCCAAGAAAGCCGGGGTATTGGGACACAGAATGCCGACTCTTTTGAACCCGCGCTTCTTCAAGAAATACGCTAATCCTCTTGCTCTGTCTGCAAACTCGAGGTAGGTTCGTCGCAGTTCCTGACCATCGGATGTGATGTGGTAAATAGCTTCTGCCTACAAGCCACCAAAAGAAGACATTATTTAGCCACCCACAATTCGCTAACGTTTTCAATTGCGCCTATTCAGTTTGGAAAACGATGTAGATGAAAACTCACATCCGGTTCAATCGCCGCCGACCTCTGTAGGAAATACGCGGGCGAAAGTGTGTGGAAGTTGACTTTGTTGTTCTTGCTATTTTGCCCCTGATCTGTAGAAGGGCCTTGGGGATCGGATGTAGATGGTGCGGAAGAAGAAGAAGAAGAAGAAGAAGAAGAAGAAGAAGAAGAAGAAGGGATCAAATGGCCTAAGAGGCCGGATAATCTATCTTTGGCGGAAGACATGGGTTGTGAATTGATTCCAAGGGTGGATGGCCAGCCCTACTACTAAGTAATGTTTGGAGATTTGTGAAATTACTGGCCAATAGAGAGGAAGAAAGAGGGGATAATCAAGTGTGTGTGTATGTGACGAGAAGGAGAGATGTGATGGGGAGAAGAGGAGGCGGAGGATGAGAGGAGGAAAAGGAGGTTTGATTTTAGTGAGGGACACCTCCGGACCGAGGGTAATAAGACTAATTACTACTGGGTTAAGTCGTACTACAATAGACAGTACGTAGTAGTAATAGTAGCCTAGGTAAAAAGAGAGGAACAAGATGCGGGGGAAGGCAGATCATCAATCACCGTCGGTAAGCGGAGACGGAGAAGGGAAAAGCGGCGGACGGGGACCAATTCTTGGGCTGGGCTGGGCTGGGGCTGGAACTAGTGCCGGGAGGACCATCTATACCCTAACGAAGGTCTGTTCAGCACTACTTGTTGTATGATGAGGATTTTGAATATCCTACAGAAGTATCAATTTTACTATTGTTCACAGGCAAAAATCAATTGATTTATATACTCAATACCACAATCATACCATCGTTACCTCTCTAGACCCATTGACAGACAGACACTGATACATTAATAAACTGTAGAACTAAACTCACCGGATCCGGATCCGTTTGCACCCACAGTTGCTGTCTGTAGTAGTGCCTGTCTGTACCCACTTAGTTGAAGCAATCTCCGGACCGAGTTCAAACTATGGTCAATTGGTCACACTCTTCGCATGCCCGAGCTTTGAACCCTCTTTATAACCGAGGTATACTGAAGAAAAGAAAATACGTAGTGTGCAGAAACAACATACAGGGATTTTTACTTAGCACAGACCGACTGAAGAAATTTCTTCCAAGTCAGCCAATGACCAGCTAGTCATATCGCAAGCAGCGCTAATGGCCTCTAATGATCGATTGGACGAGACCGGTGTTTGAGAGTCTGCAGCTATGTTAGTGCGGAATCATTTGAGGAGGATTATTTAATCTATCTAGATATGAGGTAACTAGAAATCAGACAGATGGTCAGTTAATACGCCAGGCGATATTAAGTGTGTCGGGACCACTATTCTGAAAGAGGTGGATCCTGGGATTCTATCCGCTGCCCAGGCGGTGTCGTGATCTATCTTTCTACTAGGCATTATCTACTATCTGTATCGGTTATCGTAGGAGTGGATATCGGAACTCCAATGGGCAAGTTGGGGGTTTACTGGGTCACTGATACGGCTCCTAGTGACGTCCTACGCATCATCTGGACTGGCAATCGGTGGCGCTCAGGGCATCATTCTACACAGGAACAAAATAGGGGCAGCATCGCGTGGGCACGGCATGGTAGGTGATGGAACATGGAGCCTCGTCCGGCATCCTGGGTAGTCGCATATCGCAAATCAAGTACAAGATAGGCAGTACTCTTGCTCTCTCTCCGTCCGGGGGCGGGCTAGAGATACACATAATTGCAAGGGGCCAGTAGCAGTAGTAGTAGCGGTGGTAAATGGTGCATCGGATTCGTCACAGCAAAGTCATTTGAACTCTTGAAAAGAAATTCTTGGATTAAACCGCCACGGCGCGAAATAACGGGTCAGCTATTTTGAACAACCTTTCATCCCAAGTGACTCCTGTATTTTTTTTTGTAGAAAGAATCGATCTCTCCAGCCTCCATGTGCGTCACAACATAAGAATTGTGGTATTTCATGAAAAGGTAGGGACAGTGAGAAAAAGGTCGATCGGTTTGCTGTCCATCTTCTTCGCAGAGAACCGTTTCGCGATCCCATCCCATCCCATCACAAACACAAGCAACCAGCCGCGCAACTAGGTATCTAGTATCCGAGGGAAGCGAGCTGGCTCTTGGTCTGCTCGTTAACACCCGCCGACTTCTGGGCGTGGACGAGTTGGCGGCGAGCGGCCTTCTTGCGCTCGTAGTATGCACTGCTCTTAACCTTTCTGCGCTCCTCAAGTCTGTACAAGTAGAAAAAACGAATCCGTTAGCTTTCTGCACCCAATAATTCCAATTTCTCCCCATATCATCCTCTCCAATGCAGTGTAAACGTACCTGGCAACAACGTCCTGGTACTTCCAGCCAACCTCGTGGCTGAGACGACCAACGGTGCAGTACTTGCGGCCGGGGCGCAGGCGGAGAACACGCAGAGCCTGGGGAACGACAACGCGCTTCTTCTTGTCGTAGGGGGGAGGAACACCCTCGAAAACCTTCAGGCGCTCCATAGCGGCGGCACCACGGGCGGTCTTGTGGGGGATCATGCCGCGGACAGCCTTGTAGAAGATGCGGGAGGGGGCACGGAAGTGGAAGGGACCTGTAGCGATTCAGCACTGAGTCCCGAAAAACAATCAAGCGTCGTCTTTCCCCATCGTAAAAGGGGGAAAGTCATCGGGTGGTCTCACCTCCGCGGGTGGGGTTGAAACGAGTCATCTTGCGAAGGTAGGCGTGGTACTTGACTATATCGCGAGATCCAGGTCAGCCCGTCTGTCCACCAGTACGAATGTGTTGCTTGTTCCTCCACAGCTATTCCATGCAATTGTCGATGTCCTCCTCAATATGCCGCGAATCGTCGCACAATTCCCATTCTTCTTCCCATTCATCCCAAGAAAAAATCCATATTGCAAAAGAAAATCGAAAGAAACCGGGTCGGATAGAACATACGCTTCGCGCGGAAGAACTCGCCGGAGATGTTGAGGGCTTCACATCTCACGACGACGATCTTCTGACCGTTGAGCAGCTGCTTAGCAACAGTGCTGGCCAGGCGACCCAAGAGGTGTCCCTTGCCGTCAATGACGACCTGCGAAAAACCCAAGAACTCAAGTCAGCGACAAATTGTACTTTTGTATATATGTGTGAATTCCCCGACTCCAGAGCCCTGTGACGCCCTCTTCCTTTTGACATGTCTTTGTGTGTGTATATTCAATTTCAAGGAGATTGTATGTATATGTGGATGATAGGTTTCGGGATGGGGCGGTACGCACGACTGGCTCGATGGCGGACATCCTGCTCTCTGTCACCGGTTCAAAAAGGATATATCCAGCGAAAGGAAGAGCGCTGCTCTAGGATACTCCCTTGGGATGTATGTTGTCGGCGGTTGTTGTCGTTGGTGGGCTAGGTTCAACGCACACAACGATGTCGGATGAGTTCGCTGGTCGTCGCTAAGCGAGCGGCGCTACTTCCTCTTTGTGCGGGAAGAGCCCCGTTCGAGGGCCACAGCCCTAACGCCCGTGGCTTGTAGGTCACGTGAACCGTTCCGGATCGTCAAGGGGCCCTTTGATTTTCCTTATCTATTATGTTTGTTATTATGCGAGTCCTAATGTCCATGTGGTTTTGGGTTTGGCCATGGAGGTCTGATAGGTTGGCTTAGTATTACATCTACTTATATTGGGTGTGGTGTAACTTTTTTCACCCTTGGATGGTATACTTCATTGTGACTATGCGTGCCGTCATGTTCCATCGACATTAATGCTAAGTCCACCCCGCAAATAATGTATCGCGACACTAGATAGAGACCCAGTCTTCCCCCAGACAGTCCAGGCACTCCTTATTACTAGTACTTAAATCCAACAATATGATTTTTCCCACGGTCGCATTCATGCTCAAGAACAGCAAAGAAACTCCTATTGTAACTCAAATCAGAAAATGACCTTTGATTAGCATAGGATTCTTCTTATTATCTAAAAGAGTAGGCGCCATATGAACAAGATCTCCGGATCCAGCGAGGGTTTGTGTATTGTCTAGAAAGCAGAAATTATTGTATACATTAATATTAATATCATCAAGTACGTTTTGGCGTCTTCAAATGCCGGCCTTTTTTTGTTCAGCGAAAGAATTCAAACAACCCGTAACGCCCAAGTAAAACGAATCCAAAAAGAGGGCATTAGCTATATGTTCTTGGCGTGTATATTCTTGAACATCATGCGGCGTTAGAATGTCCTGTTTCTAATCACATTAAGCGGTGACATTCACCTAGTATAAAGGCTGATTTGCGTCGTAAGTGCCCCTCGCAATGACCTCTTCGAGAGGCCAACGGGGAGGCTCAATAATCCTAGGTCCCTTCGAGCTATCGTGTGCAGACAATGGTTCCCTCAGACCACCTGCAATGCCTGAAGAGAATTTGATCTCCAATGCATCGCCTATTTCATCGCACGCCTGCAGGATGCGATCCAGATCGTCTTTAGTGTGCGCGGCTGAGATGCAGAGTCGCGCCCGTGACAGCTCCAGGGGCGTGGCAGGGTATGTCACAACAACCACGGAGATCTTGCGACGCAGCATTTCTCGAGAGAAGGCGGGCATCTTGGCCGGATTGTACAGCATCAACGGCACAATAGGAGAGTCATCGTGTCCGTAGACGATGAAGCCCAGTCTCTTCAATCCAAGCCGAAGGTAGCGCGAGTTGAAAGCCAGGCGCTGCATCCGCTCGCGTCCCTCGCCCGGGTGAAGAGGATCCTCATCAGCAATGAGTCGCAATGAGGAGTAGATCTGAGCCAGGACAGGAAGCGACGGGGCTTCTCCAAAGATTTGACCAGCGTTTGTGCAGCGAATCTTGTCAATGATGGCTCTGTCGGCCGCGATATAGCCACCGTTCGCCCCGAAGGACTTGGTAAACGTTCCCATCAGGATGTCGACTTCCGCCGGGTCTACTTTGAAGTAGTCGCAAACTCCGCGTCCGTGACGTCCAACAGCTCCAATGGAGTGTGCCTCGTCAACAAAAAGGTGGAACTTGTACTTCTTCTTCAACGCCAGTATCCGAGGAAGGTTGCACATGGTACCTTCCATAGAGAACAGTCCCTCCACGGTAACAAGAATTTTCTTCCACGGCCTATGCGTGCGAGGCTGACCTTGAGAGATTGCCTCCCTGAGACGCTTCTCGAGGTCGGCCATGTTGTTATGCGCGAAGACTTGAATAGCCGCGCCAGACAGACGAGCACCAAACCGGATGGACGCATGATTGAGTTCATCAGACAGGATCAGACATCCCTTTTCCATTATGGAGGGAAAGATAGTCGCATTCGTCACAAAGCCCATGGAGAACACAACTGCGGCTTCTTTTCCCACAAACCGGGCGATTTGATCTTCCACCTCTGCATGAAGCTTCGTGATTCCTCCCTCGGGAGTCGATGCAATGCAAATGCCATCCCGGCGGAGTACCTCCTCGGCATAGTCGGTGCATGGGCCTTCCGACTGAGCAAAACCCAAATAATTATACGAACTCAGGTTCAGCGTATCCGTCGTTGTGCCCGTAAGTCTGAAATGAAGGTTGTCTTCAGTCGTGCGGTCCAACAGCGTAACATGCCTGCCCGGAACACCAACAATCGGCCTCTCAAAACAGTCATTAATCCGTTGCTTCAAGCGTCGCGTGTAGAAACTCTCGAAGTCGCTATACAATGACGCATAGCCATTCTGTGGCTTCAAGTGCCGGTAAGTATGGGAGCGAAACCACTTGTCCACGAAATCATGGAAATGGCCGAGAAAGATCAGCACGAGAAAGCTGACGTAGGTGGTCAGGACGACGAAGTACGGAGGCTCATCAATGACCGGGTCAGGGATCTCTCCACCGGGATGCTCGCTGGTGTAGAGATGCGACGGGTCGCCCAGGGGTCCGAACTCGGCGTGCTGCTTGGCTAGCTTTCGAATCGCTTCCGGGTCGGATGGTGCCTGGTCTTGGGTTACTGCTGTCGTTCTCATGGCATCGGGAGAGCAGCCACTAACAGCGCGAAGGGAGGCCACAGCAGTAGAATGAGCCATAGGGGAGTCGGGGGATACACCGGGATTGCCGCCGCTGATTGCTGCATCCTTCTCGGGGCGCGCTTTACTGCGCTTCCAGCGAGGCATCATGAAGCAGAGGGGCTGACGGTAAGTTTTCAGCCACAACTAGCAATAATATTGATGCTGAAGAATGCAGCTAAGATAACGGCGGCTGGGCAGGGTGAGGTGAGAAGGGGAGGGGAACAGGGAAGGTTGTATCGTGAGGTCGCTGAAGCGTGATTCCTCCATCATGTAATGGTGAGAGGCGGTTCCACTCGGCTTGTTCGGGGGTGAGATTGGCGCCCGATCATTGGTGGCTGATGCCGGATGCCTCCGACGGGCCAGGCGGAGACTTTCGGAGTTCATTGGCCAGACCGCTGACTCAGCATGGCCTGATGGCACATGGGCGCAACTTGTTGCATTTCCATCTGCTGCTGCTGCATGTTAAAACACATAATGAGAATATTAGCCAGGCTTGTCCTTTTGTCAAGGTGTACAATCCTCGGGGTACCGTGCTAAAACCTTCTAGCAAATTCTGTGCCTAGGGCTGACATCCATATATGGACGGCAGCATTTGAAACTACGCCTTTGTCACTGCAGCTATAGTCCGCTCCGCTTTAGGTAACACAGAACGGCTTCGCTAAGCCTTCACTGAAATAGTAACGCCATCGGGCTGTGCTGACAGCTCAACACGAAGGGGCGTCGAGTCAGGGAAAAAAGCATGAAGATGCGTCGAAAGACACGTTTTGTCTGTGTCTCTGATACGCACGCCTACACGCCGTCAGAGGCCGGTTTCAAGCTTCCCGCTGGAGATGTCTTAATCCATGCTGGTGACCTCACCAACCATGGGAGCGCTGCTGAACTGCGTAAGACAATGAGCTGGATTGCTACAGCTGACTTCGAAGTCAAAATCATCATTTGCGGTTGGTCTCCCTCCCGCCCAGACTGTTAAATATTGGGCCTCTAAGTACGGTCTTTGTTGTCCGAGAAGGCCACCCGTAGGGCTGAAGGAGATTGGGAACACTGATGGCCAAAGGATACGTACTGAGTACCGGTAATCATTAGGAAACCATGATATCACACTAGACCCGGGTTTCTACGCTGAACACGGGTCTAGCTTTCACGGCCAACATCTAGAAGATACCCAGAAGTGTCTGGAAATAATAACCCAAGCATCACCGTCGATAGTCTATCTCAGGCACCAGTCAGCACTAATCCGGTTGACCCGGCCTAACGGCCCAAATACCATCTTCAAGGTCTTTGGCTCCCCATACTCCCAGTCACCTGGAATCTGGGCGTATGGATACGAGTCTTCAGATGCTAGTGCGCTTTGGAACAGCATTCCATTGGACACGGATATCACCGTGACCCATACGCCGCCTTATTCGCACTGCGATAGCCGAGTTGAAGGCATTTCAGTCGGATGCACAGCCCTGCGGGGTGCATTAAGCAAAGTTCGGCCATCACTAGCAGTATGTGGCCATGTACACGAGTCGCGAGGCTCGGAGAGGGTGCGATGGTATTCTTCGCAGGCATCGTCATCACCAACGGTAGATGTCCAAGAGCATAAGGATCCAGTTATGCTGCCTGCCCCGGGCAGTAAGAAGCAGAGCCTAGTCGATCTCACGGGCAAGAAGGCACCCAAAATCAATAACAATTACTTTGCCGGCAACAACCTTCGAGCGCCAGCCAGTCAACTGTTCCGATCATCACAAAAGGCCCTGCTGTTACCGTCTTTTGAGTGGCCATCTGAAGGATTCCAAGGCTCTGAAGCCGATCAATCAACGTCATCCTTCCGGCCTTTGTGCTCAGAGGAAGGACACACTGAGAATGAAGACGGGTCTAATCCAAGGCGACGCGAAACATGTATTGTCAATGCGGCCATCGTGGCGACCAGTTGGCCGCATCGGGGTGGGAAACGGTTCCATGCCCCTATTGTGGTCGATCTAGAACTACCAGTCTGGAAAGAGGAGAAGGGAGGAAATGAACCCCACGGCTAGAATGTGTAGCTCATATCGTGTGTCCTGAATGGCCAGGTTAGCATTGACTCCGACGATCGGCTGTGCAAGGTGGAATATCTCTTGTCGTGCAGCAGGCAGCTTGAGCTTTGACCTGCGGATTGACGTATGGCCGACCGTTTCGGGTGGGATGCATCACTGGCTGCCTTGGATTTGGGAGACACTTCAGCCATGTAGAGCACTCCGCCCCATACTGTTTTGAGTATATACACCGGCCTGGTTGGGACTGGTTGTCGGTCATTGTAGAGGAGCGGGCATGAGTTACGCTGTGACTCAAGAGCAGCAAGGCGGTGGTGTGGTGGTGATGCTCCCTAGCTCCCTTGCTCTTTGTCTTGTGTCGGGCCGTCATTTGATGAACCAGAAACCCGGGATGGAACAAGTGGAAGATCGGGAAAGCAGGGGCAGCGTGGTAGCTGAGGGGATGTAAACAGCACCATGATCACTGGGAGCTTACGTTGAAATTAATAAGCAGCAAATGAGAACGGCAGTTCCAGGTGTCGAATGGCCATGAAAGATCATCTGAAACGTGATGTGGGTGAATGACATCCTTTGCTCATTATAGTAGACTGGAGCAGAATCACCAAGTCACTCTGAGACGGGTATGGCAGTACGAGGACTGTGACCAGAGCCAGACGGAGACAGCCATGACCATTCCTTTGAGCATACACCAGTCAAAGTCCAGGAGTAGAGACTGTTCAGAACAGGCCGCGGAATGGAGGCGCTTGATGCTGTCCTATGAGTGACAGTGATGAAGTGTGGCGGGGTTGAGACGGAGCATCGGGTCCTACCAACCCCTACTTAGGCTCCTGACTGCAATGTGTGAGCGGACCCTGTGAGCCCATCTCCCTTATTGCTGCGTGCATGAAGAACATCAGAACATCAGAACAGCTCAGGAAAGTGCCGTGTACTGTGCTGCTGTCTGCGTGGAGAATCAGATCGTCCAGTTATCTGTATCGTTATCGACGCCCCTTACCCACAGTGGGTCTTGGATAGTTCACGATTTGGGAAGAAACCGATCTGCTCCGCTACAAGCGATGATGTCAATCGGGTTGGCCAATCTTTCGATTAACCTCTAAGTAAGGACTCTGAAGGAAATAACCAACCACGTTACAACTGAACATCCTCGATGGTCTAACGGTCATGATTTCCGCTTGTCAATCCTTAATAGGAACAAGCGCGGGAGACCTGGGTTCGACTCCCAGTCGGGGAGACTTTTTTGCCCTTGAGGCTTTCGCAAGTGCGCCACAAGAACCTTCGACTGACCCTTTTGGTATCGATTGTTCTTTTGGTCGAGACAGCACCACGCATCGCTTCCTAGATGGACTTGATTCAATCGCTGAGACATCCTACGATCGCACAGCACGAGCACCGAGCCACCATCTCGAGCACCTGACTGTGTCGCAAGGTGGCAGACGACTGGTCGACCTGATGCTGCGGATTGAACCCACACCGTCACCACTTCCTCCACTCTTCATTGTAGTGATTAGCTGTGCTAGGCATGAGATAGTTTTTACATCCAGAGTCAGCTGTGAAGGCAGAAGCTGAAAGGGTAAAGAGATGCGTACGTAGGCAGCCCGCCCGTAACGACGCTGCCGGGATCAGGGCGTGGGATGAAACCGAGCAACGCCACAGAACTGAGGTTAGCGCGCTAAAGAGGCCTTGATATCCTTCCATTCAGCCGTAGCCACCAATTTGTGATGGGGCCGGTGGGTAACGATCGATTCTCAAGAAGGCTAGGTAGCCGCCAAACTGGATCGATAAGATGCAGTTGGGTTGATATTCGCCAACATCATTGGTGGTGGGCGCCGTGGTAAAACCCCCCGGGTGCAGCTGGCTGATGAGGGGGGGGGCCTGTTTCGCAATGCTTACTGCAACACTAACATTGAACGCGTACATAACCTCTACCACGAGGCACTTGGGACCTCCACACCCCACATGAAGGCCTGCATTGGCGGATGATGTGAGCCAGCAAGGTACGTACCATAGGACATTGTGGTCAGCAAGTCTCACAGGCATGGGCCTCACAGGAAGCCCCCTGCTTATTGCCTGTCACCCCCAAAGGAACAGGCCGGGATTTCAGCGTTCATCGGAACGTGTCATACGGATGCTGTAGTAGTACACACCTACACACCATTTCGGCTATGGGTAAATGTCGGGGCCGCATCAACCGACTGGCTCGGCCTGGCAGACAAAACAATGGGCGCTTCATCTGACAGCGCGCCCGAGCCGACGATGGGTCCAGAGCCCGGGCAAAGCTTTCGAACCTGAGAACAGCTGCTTTAAGCTCCTGTTAACGTTTTGCATCAATCCTGCACTTGCGAGCCTTGACGAAGAGCTGGAGCACCCGCGCCCCTTGATCCAAGGCTATTGAGAGCGTCTTATTGGATGCGCGGGATCGCGAAAGTGAAGCAGCACCATGCAAACTAATGCCGGGACAATCATTGCATGGACAGCGGACGCGAATTGTTGGCTGAGCCGTGCAGCAGACATCGGGTGCAGATGACTTTGCACAGGGTCCAATTACTCCTTCGAGAACAATCAGCTCGGCGAGGAACGTTCGGTGCGGCGTGTCATGGGCACGGATAACCTGGGGGTGGGACAGGCGAGATAGGCTGACAGGCCATTGCGTGGTACAAGACAAGCCCTGCAACCACTAGTTACGATCCCAGGGTGAGCAAGCCAGCCATGTTGCCATGCTCTGTATCAGCCGTTTTTAACTTTGGCCGTTTGATGCCGATCAAATTGATAGATCTACACGATTCGGGGCCTTACCCCGCGAAACTCGCAGGATACACCTTGTGACAGAAGATAACCGTCGCGAGGGATGGAAGACCATACCACTGACGAGCATTCATGGTCTTCCTTTTCCTTCCCCTTCACAGCCGTGAGGAACCGGAAGTAGTAGCTAACTAGTGAGTAGTACTAGTTTCTAGAGAATCAGCCCAGGGACAGGAGACAAATGAAGGGCGGGACCTTCCGGGAACAATCCACGGGACTAATTCACGCGCGCCCGGACCGGATCGATGGATAATGATGGACTGTAACCATGGACGACGCCCCTCCAGGTACCATAACCATTATGTTCCTGAAGTTCAGTCAGCCAGCCGAGGTACCTTTTTTTCTTTTCTTCTTCCTCTACCCCACGCATAGGAAGAGGTATCATCCCTGTACGAATGAGTCCATTTTGCGATGGGCTGGTTCCACTCCACCGGACTAGGCCATTCAAGGTAGTAAGGATGCTGCTGTAGGAGCAAAAGCCAAGAGGAGGAGGAGGAGGTAAGAGGAAGGAGAGCAGCGAATTCGCTGAGCCAATTCCAGACAGACTGCCGAACCCAGCGCATCGTGTCCGGTGAGGCGACCCCAAAATAGGATGCAGCTAGCAGAGCGCATACGCAGGTGACTGCTGATGTGATTGGATTGTAAATCCCTCCCGGTGAAGGGCAAAGGCTGTGAGCATTAGTGGGGTCAGCCTATAAGGAGGCAAAACAGACCCAAGGTGGTGTGTGGGAGTCGATCCAGTCAGTGGCAGTTTGCCAGTCGGCGTTTGGGAAGGAAAGTGAGGGAAGTGAGGGAAGTGGAGGTGGTGCGGGGTTTCTTTTCCTCGCGGCGTCTTTTTGGTGGTTGACAACTCGGCCTGACTGGTCAACTCCCCCCGGTGCTGAGGGAGAGGGTGTGTTCCGATCGAAGCAAACGTTGTTGATTAGTTGGTGTTGGAAGTCTTGGTGGTTCAATTAGCGCAATGAGAGAGGAAAGATTCTGTTACGACGTACTACCATAGGTACGGAGTACTTATGGGAGGTAGTACGCAGTAGATACTCCTACTTGCTCGTCATTATCAACCTAGAAACCAAACAGTAGTAGTACTTACATAGTACTGCTTAGTAGTAACTAGATGCTCACCAGGCAGAGAGTGCCCTATTCAGCTACTGTTTACTACTAACCTATTACTGCTAGTTAGTTACAGAGTACTACCGGATAGATAGATAGTTTACTCCATTGAGGGACATCTCCTCGTGGAAAAGGCCCCGCAGATCAATCAGGCTTATGACTGACGGTCGCAAAGTCGAATTCGCTCATCTGCCGGGGACCACCAGGTGGATGACCAAACAGACACTCGTCCTGCAGACACCCATGGCTTAGTCTCCTCTGCGTCGTAACTTTGACGCTAGCAATGGGACAGGCAAGATGGATTTCTGGCCAAGCGCCCGCCGTGACCGTGATGAAGATGTGACTGAGAACGGCCCAGCATCTCCCTCTCACTCGATGCCGCAGTTGCACATAGGGCTTCAGGGTTTGCGAGAAGCCAACATGATACGAAGGTCAACAGAAGTCAAGGCTTAGATACTACGAGTTCTTTCTCTCTTGTACCTTGAAGTCTTCTCTCGCCAGGTACCAATCCCTCCAATAAAAATGGTTCCTTCAAGGATCGGAGATAAACCCACGGTCAAACACCACCGGGGTATTTGTACCACATCAGGTCCAGTTTCATTTCCCTTCGTTTGCAGGATGATACGTCTCATTCTCTAGATCACCTTCTGGTGGCTGTTTTATAATAATAATCTTCGATCCTGTATTCCGTATTCTTATGCCTCCTGTGATCTACTATTTGGACATGGTATGAACCAATTGTCCTGTCTTCATTCCTGCCGTCCTCCTGAAAGGCATCAATGATTGACCGCTCCTTGCCAATCGTTCATCGTTGGTTCTCCATTATTGCAACTTGCCTGTTGACGGTTGTTGCTGTTGTTCCTCGCAAAGCGGGCCCTTGGGCTTCCTGATTGTGACAAGACCCCATCGTTGGTTTCACTTTCCCACTTCACCGCTGCTTTGCAGTCCATCTGTTGGCTCGCTCTGCACCAGGAATTCGAATGCAGAGAGTATCATAATCATACTACTCTCTTCAGAGTCATCCTTCTGCTGCTCCTCCTCATCATAATCATCATCACTCCCAAGACATTCACGAGACGATCCGACTCTTATATCGTCATTGTTGCCAATCAATCCTGTTTGAATCCAGTTGTCCCGCCCTGCTGCTACTCCTGCCCACTTCTTATACCACCGATATACTTCGCATTTGGCCTAAACCCCAGCAAGGACAATCCAACCAGACGCAGCTGGTGGCATCATCGAGCGTCTTCTAGTTTAAATCATCAGCCATTATTCATCGACGTTGGCGTCTGACCAGCTAACTCCCTCACTCGACCAGCAACCCTGACTAAACGTGGTGCCACTTCATCTGACCATCCTTTAGTCTTAGTCGATTTGGCTGCTTTTTCTACTTTTAGCTTACACTCTTCCGGTCTCCAGTTGAAGCAGCGTGGCGCAGTGTGCTTGGGTCCGATTGTTTGGCGGTATTTGCCCGTTGGGGGGAAAATCCCTTTTGATTTTCTCGCATTTTTCCTCTCCTTCTCTCTAGTATTTTTGACTTTTTCCCCTTTTGCCCCTCAGCGCTGGTCGCCTCTCCCGACCAGATAGGAATATTCCTCCCTCTTGATTGAACTGGAGTGCATCCACTCTGACTAGTACTAACTTCGGGTCTGGTTTGCTGGGCGAAATTACCCGGGCCAAGTACTGCCCCCAGCTGTTCCCCTCTTACCTTTTCTCTTGGGTACTTGGGAATCTTCCTGCCATACAACTTGGGGATCCATCAGTAACCATACCTAAAAACCTACCAACTAATTCATTATTATTTTGGGTTATTTTGCCTCGCTATTTCCCTTCCCCCTCCCCCTCCCCTCCTCCACCCTCTCTGTCTCTCTCTTTGGTTTAAACCCGCTGCACACTCCAAACCAGACTCTTACTAGTGACTTTTATTCTGCATGGTTCATATTCTCACTCATCATAAACTCCCCGTGTCTCTCCTTTTACTCATTATTACTCATTAATTTCACATCCCAATTCACTACAACTCGACTCCCCTCCTGCCTTGCCGGTTTCACCCTACCTTTTGTCATCCTGCTTCTTCCCCTTCTTTCGTCTTCGCCGGCCTTCTCCATGAATTGGCCGCATATCCGATCGGGACAATCCTGACTATGCGCCATTGATCGTCGAGCACCCACGTCACCCCATCGAGCCGTCTATCCGCCCGCCTTGTCCATCTCAGCGTACCTTACACATCCGCGCTATCGCTGCAACCCTCCCGGCTTCGCCTCCCTCCGTTCAGGTACTTACCGCTTCTGCTGTCCTCCACGCTTTCTTATACAACGCCACACCGCGGCACTTGTCGCTTTCTTGTCGCTCTGCATTTATCATCATACTGTCTATTTAAATCATCTGTTGATCCTGCATTGAGGCTGGTTTATATGTTTTCTACCCCATCTTTCACTAGTGTCTTACACAGACCATCATGGCAGCCGCGCCAGATATCGATCCATACGAAGTGTTGGGGGTGCCAAGGGATGCGGCCTTGTCGGATATCAAATCTGCTCATCGCAAACTCGTGTTGAAATGTCACCCCGATAAGATCAAAGATGAGTCGCTGAGAAGCAAGGCTCAGGATGAATTTCAGAAGGTGCAGCAGGCTTACGAGACGCTTTCGGATGAGACGAGAAGGGCCAAGTACGATGCGAAAGCTCGGCTGGCTGAGTTGCGTCGCCAAATGCACGAACAAGGCGTACCGGTCAATGGTACCTCGGCCTATGCCACCCCGCGCGCCAGCGCCCCTCGCGAGTATCGCAACGGACGGTACTACGAGGAGAGGACGCCGGCTGATGCAGCCACCTATTCCGATGACGACCTCCAATTCTCCGAAGAGTCGCGCTCAACGTCCCGAAAATACGATGAGTATAAGAAACGATATTCCTCCAAACCCCCGAGCGAGAAGAAGAAGAGCAAGAGTGATGGCCCTAGTACTCGTGCGGCGAGGGATATGGCTCGCGACAACTCGAGGACGACCCACAGCAGTCGTGCCAAATATCGTACCAGGGAACGACAACGGGATGCCTACGAGAAGTATGAGCGGGCCGTTCCGTACAGTGACTCCGAAGACGATGGCGGCGCATCTGACTCCAGCGCCTCGTCCACGGTTTATGTGAAAATTAAGCGCCCCTCGGAAAGGCGCAACCGGGAGGCCTCTTCTCGAAAGTCCCGACCGGCGGATCTCCCGCGCCGACACACGTCGACCCGCTACGACGACGAGTACACGGATGAATATGAGTCGAGGCATGAGTCGAAGCATGACAAGCTACACACCACCGCTAAAGATTACATTGAACGCTCCAAGGGATCCGTTCCGATCGAAATTGACAGACGTCCGCAAACCTCCCGCTCGCCCCCGCGCAATCATGGCTATGAATCCGCCGATCCAGAGTCTTCCTCGTCACGACACTCGGGCCGCACAAAACGACCGAGCAAGGAAAGTGTTCGGACCAGTAGTTCTCGCAATGGATCATATGAGAAGCTCGGGTCCCAAGCCCGATCCTACGAAGTCAAGGTACCTAGCATGCCAACTGCGGCAACTTCACCGTCAGTGAAGATTCCGTCTTCTGTCCGGCCGTCCCTTCAGCCCTCGCGCTCTGCGAGCGCTGCACAAACCCATTCCCGCCCCAGGGGAATGAGCCGCGAAAACCCACTGCATAACATGGTTCATGAGGCGAGTCGGACAGCGAAACTGCGAACGGACAAGTACGATTCGGGCTACTCGAGTCCGGGCACGCCAGAGATGGCAACCGGCGAGAGTCCGCCCAAGTCGACTCGCTACAAGATTGTGACGGAACCGGACACCGTGCTCAGAGAACCCAGCATACCGCTACCCCAGAAGTCCCCCAGATACGCAAGGGGGGGTTCACCGCCACGTCAAGAACGCCCTATGCCGAAGCCTCCCGTTCGGAGTAGCACCTACACCTACCCCACAGAA